CTGAAATTAGGGATTCAAAAAGGATTATAACCTTGGCTAGAGTGAATTCATCATCGGGGATTAAGGTTTTATCACCGGAAGCCAAGGAAGGAGAAGAGCTCGTGGAATCTGCAGCTCTTGCAACGAAATCCATCCTCAGAATCTCTCTTCTCAACCTCCTTGTCTCGGGAACGTATAGCCATCTCTGCCGTGGCATCAGAGACGAAACGACGGATAGATTCTCATGACGACGATCGCACAGACCTAGTCGCCGGCCGTTTTGGCGACGGAGATTAGAGGATAAGACGGTGGTTCCCGAAGCTGCCGATATGGATCCCATCTTCTTCTTTTTTCTCTGTGTGTGTGTATCTGCGAGAATAGTAAATGTGAGGCTGAGGCAAAAAGTGTTCAGGAGTTCAACTTTCAACCGCCAAAATTTCTGGCCACGATTTCTCCATTCTGATTTCGGTTTACGAAAACCGGTCAAATCATCATTCGCTCCAAGTCACCATTACGAAAATAAAAGTTTAAAATTACAAATTATTGGTGTGACCAAAAAATAAAAAATAAAATTACAAATTGTTGGTGGAAGAGATTAGTAAACCTATAAAACAAAATTCAATGGCAAAAAAAAAAAGATAGAAAATATTGAACCAAAATTCAATCGATACACATTCGGGATTTATTAATGTGAAACGCCAAAACTCTGAAAAAATAGCTATAAAAAACCTAAATTTTTCGCCAATGAAGGAGATACAACATCAACGATCCATGAAGCACCAATCCTTGTTTTAGAAGCCCTTTCATAGTCCGAGAAAACCTTCAATCCTAATTTAGGGCCCAATTGCATACGACAGAAACCAATATCGAAATACAACCAACAATATTAAAGAAATATAGCTAGGACGGGACTACACTAATCGAAGTGTAAAAAGCGCGAAGCCAAGACCTCTCCCCGGTGTCGGCAAGTGCTCAACTACGCGACAAATTAAACGACGACCGTACTAGTTCCTCCAAAAGCGAAAATAAAG